TGTTCATTACAAACATCAACTTTAAATCATAAACTGTGAGGTTATGGAGCTTTTCCAAAGTCAAACAGAAATAAAGAATTGTTTTGTTTTTCATTCTGCCTTTAACAGAAATTAAAACCTTATACTTAAGGATTACAGAATACTGTAACTCAGATTATATTGTAAAATAAATACTCATTCTTAAAATGGAACTTATTTATTCAGTTTATCATAATCTGTAAAGAGTAAGATACAATGAATTATGTATTTTAAAAACTTATATACCAAATGCTCAAATACTTTCTACTGTAGAATAAATTCTAACCTTACTTTACAGGGAACCAAAATGGAACTATTTTTTAAATGTTTAATGTTGCCTTTTATATTATTTGATTCAAAATGTTTATTTAATTCAAATCACCTACATTAAAATGAACCTTCTTGAACTCAGTGAAATTGCTCATGATTGATACAACCATAAAACAATCTATCTATAAGCAGTTTTGATTTTGTAAGCTGTTTTCAGTAACTTTCCCCAAATAAGATCAAGATTTCCTAGTAGAGACACAAGAGGGCAGACATACATAAAACAATGAATTTCCTACTAGCTAGAAATTATTTATCCTTTGATTATTTTTGAGTCTTCTAGCATAGTGAGAAAACAGTAAAGTTTCAAAACAATTTGCTCTTCTAAGTAACAGCACACTTTAAAATGTCTAAAGATTATATGCCAATACTATATAGAAAAGATGACAGCTTGGAAAAAGTCAAACACACATTAATAATTTTATTCATTAAAACATATAACAAAAAGAAATTATATGCATTTTAGTTACCTAGTGAATGTCATAATGTCATAGTCGATCTGTTGAGAGTGTCTCAGTATTCACATCTTTCAATACAGTTATGTAAAATTATCTTAAACAGTAAAAAAAAAAAAAAAAAGAAAAAACGGTGCAAAAAAAAAACGAGAAAACTTTCTTTTCAGAGAATGTAAACCATTCTTATGTCATGTTAAGACAAAAACCAAGTCATTTAAGTCGTTCTACTAAATATTTATATTTTTCATTTACACAGGAGAAATCTACCAGTAAAATATGTTGAAACCATTAGGTGTCAATATCCTGGATGATCAAGCCCCTCCTTGTTTAAAACAAGCACAAAATTTTATCTTCCTCTTTTTAATGACTGCAACTCAGAACTCAGAAACATCCTACAGAATATAAGAGAAGAGAAGAGCTACTTTGTCAATAGAGAGACCACTCCTTCACTTCTGTCTGGAAGATCCACTGTGAGCTTACAGGCATTCAATGGATCATGTTGTGTGTAGAAATACACATCCTCCATTTCCTTCCCACCCCTCTCCCCATCCCCAAAAAAGGAATGCAAAAGGGGCTTAGAAAGGGATACAGTCTTTCCAGAGAAGCTAAGAGTCTGCTGTTTGTTTTCCTCTTATGTCACAGTTTTTGTAGGGTTAGACAGCTTTAGGCGAAGGTGGGAAGACAGCCGCTAATGTAGAGCAGGGGAAAGAACCAGAGACTACGGTGGACATTGCACATGGAGACCTATATCCTAACCAACTGAGGACGCCGATGCTTCTCTCCATTCACAAGGGGAAATGCTTCAGAGTTCTACACCACCTGATTTCTAGCTAATTTAGTAAGGAGCTATGAGAAACAAGGAACACCATGCAAATAAGACTGTGAGGCTGGCTCAGTAAATGTTCAGGACTGAGTTCTAAGAAGAGAAAGACTTCCATGTCGCAATACTAATCTTTTGAGGGAGTAAAAGGAGGAAGGAGGCTCTGAGCAAATGAGATAAAACATCCTGACAGCTACAAAAGTTCTAGATAAATTTATGGTGATGTTAGATTGTGACTCTCAGCCAAATTACTTTTCTTAGCTGTAAAATGCTTTGTTTTTTCTTCACAGTGACAAACAGCTGTCATTGAACAACACATTCTCACAATTTATCAATGGGAAAATTATTATTAAGGCTCTTCCCTTTACACAAAACTTAGACTAAAAAGAAGTCAACGTTTTAAAGGGACCTGAGAGACAAGAAAGACGAGAACTTTAAAGATATCTGGAAGCTCCAAGGAGGATTTAAGACATTTTTTTCCTGTAGTAGTTCAGGAGAACTGGAAGAGAAGCTGTCAAACATTTCAATTAAAGTATCCAGGTTTTCTTTACCTGGTTTCCCCTTTCTACCATGAAACTTAAAAGCACTGTAAAGAGATCATCCCAAAGGAGGTTAATCAAAAAGCAGGACTTTCCAAGCAGATGCAAATTCTGTCCCTTTTCGCCTTCTTCCTCTACGATGTGCCAAGAAGATTTAAAAATAAGTTTGCTCCACAAAGCACCTCCAAGCTCCCTACCCTCTCTCTGCATCGCTTCAAGGTTGGGGAAAACTTTGATTATCGAAGAGGATCCTCCCAACAGAATGGGAGGAGTGAAATTAGTACTACTTCTTTGAAATTCACTCAATTTTCTCAGTTACCTCTCTACCGCACCTACTTCAGGTTGGAGCAGAACATTCAGTCCCCTCCCGCAACCATCCCAGATTATTCCAGTTCTGTGTAAAGACACCAGCTGGAGAAACAACTACCCGATCCCTGTTCTCCTATAACCACAAGCACTTGAGAACTAAAATGTGACAGTATTTGATAAATTAGGTTTCCTATCTTTCAACCGCTTGAATAGATAAATCACAATAAATCTGGTTAAACTGCTCTTTTATGATTTGTAATTCACACATCATGATACATCTGTTTGGTTATGCAGTTTAAATATATATAATCAAGATGATAAGAACTGTGTTCAAAACAAGAGTAAAGAAAGTGCAGAGGAGGTGTTAACGGCTCTCCCGTGAGGAGCACGTTAGGTTATGTGTGTGTTTTGGGGCTGCACTCAGATTCATGAGGTTACTAGATAAGTGATTTCCTCATTCTTTCACAGAATATATTCCTTTAATCTTTGTTATTTTTTATTAGCAATTGTAATTATTAGTAATTTTAAGTTTTTACTCCAGGGAAATTTTGCAATTTTCGATGAAATCACTTTGTTTCAGAAAACTCTGGTAATAAGAAAAAAAATGGATGACAGGATTTATGAAAAATTCTATAGACAATTGGTTTCCCAGTTAAAACGAGCTGCAGACAATTACCTTGGAACAGAAGACATTTTCAGATAAAGAAATTTACACATTTACATGTGACATTAGGAAGTACACACTTTTCTTTTTATGTAATACTATCATACAGTACTTTCCTTAAAATGATTAATAAATCCTGAAACCCAATTTTTTTAAAAAGCGCATCTGTTTTATAAACCTGAATACATACCAACCACTGCCAAAGCTTTAGCAATGACTTTATTTCCACCTCCTCATTTTATAGATGGCAGAAGCTGTGAAGAAACATATATAGAGCGAACAAATATATGAGAAGGTACTCAACACCACTAATCATCCAGGAAAGTCAAATCAAAACCACAATGAGCTATCACCTCATACCTATTAGAATGGCTATTATCAGAAAGACAAGAAATAACAAGTGTTGGTAAGAATGCGGAGGAAAAAAAAAACCTTATGTATGTTGGTGGGAAAGTAAACTGGCACAGCCTCTATGGAAAACAGTATGGAGGTTCCTCAGAAAGATTAAAAAGAGAGCTACCCTATGGTCCAGCAACTCCACTTCTGGGTATTTATCTGAAGAAAATGAAAACACAAACTTGAAAAGATATATATGCAACCTTATGTTCAGCTTTACAACAGCCAAGACATGAAAGCAACCTAAGTATCCATCAATAGATGAATGAAAAAAGAAAATGTGCTCGCTCTCTCTCTCTACACACACACACACACACACACACACACACACACACACTGGAATATTCACATAAAAAGAAGGAAATCTTGCCATTTGTGGAAACATGAATGGATCCTGACAGCATTATGCCAAGTGAAATTAGTCAAACAGAGAAAGACAAATTATGTTTTTTAAAAAAGCAAACAAAAAAATTATACTCATATAAAGAGAACAGACTGATGGTTGCCAGTGGCACAGGCTGGAGGGTGAGTAAAATGGACGAGATGATCCAAAGGTACAAACCCTCAGTTATAAATAAATCACGGGGATATAACATTCAGTATAGTGACTACAGCTAATAATACCGTATTGCATATTTGAAAGTTACTAAGAGTAGATCTTATTACAAGGGAAAAAATTTTGTAGCTAAGTATGGTGATGGATGTTAATTGAACTTATTGTGGTAATCATTTTATAATATACACAAATATTAAATCATTATGTTACATACCTGAAACTAATACATTATATGTCAATGATATCTCAATTTAGGGGAAAAAGGAAAGAGAGAAAAACTCAGGCCCAGAGATATGAAGTATTAAGTGACAGACAAGAGAATCATCCAGATTCTGAATCTGATAAAACCAGAAACAAAATCCAAGCCTTCATTCAAGTTAATGTTCTTTCTATTACATCATGCTAGCTCCTCTGCTTCTGTCTCTAGTTTCTTTGGACTGAATATTTTTTGCTGTGTTTATAAATATCCTGATGCTGGGAAAGACTGAAGGCAAAACAAGAAGCGGGTGGCAGAGGATGAGACGGTTAGACAGCATCACTGACTCAATGGACGTGAATCTGAGCAAACTCTGGGAGACAGTGAAGAACAGGGGAGCCTGGCGTGCTACAGTCCATGTGGTCGCAGAGTCGGACACGACTGAGCAAGTGAACAGCGGCAAAACAAATGAGAAGAAAAACAACAAGTCAGGTACAAGGTTTCAAGTTTTCCATGTTAATTAGTCTCAAACGTTTTAAAAGTTTTGTTCATCAACACAATACTTGTAGAGTTTTATAACAGTTATGCTTATTACTGTGCAGGGGAAAGGAAAAGCAAAGCCGTCTGTGCTCATGGACACGCTGTCAAACGCTTCCTTCAAGTGTGCTAGTACGCAGAGCATCCACTGGAGGGAGGCACACACTGGACTCTGAGCCTTACCTGCACCGGTGTTTCCCTTTCTTGCCGAAACTCGTCTGTCTGCTGCTGCTGCCAAGGAGCTAGACTGTAAGAGTCCTCTGTGGTTCTACCTTCCAAGGGGTTTGTCCGCAGCTGCTCCGTCAGCCACATCTGCGTCCTCACAGAAGGCTGGATGGGAACGCCGCCTACCGCCTGCTGACCAAGCATTAAATATTTCGGAGATTCAAAAGCCTCTGAGCTTGTCAGAATAGGCTTGCTTTCAGGTAAGGCACTGTATGTCATGTCTAAGGCCTGTCTCCTAAGAGTGGAGGAAGAAGCTCTAAAGTCTTCTTTGCTACAGCTCTCAAATTTATATTTGCTGTCCAGAGTTGACGGTCGTTTTTTGTTTATCTCCTTATCCTCTAGCTTAAGCATCTCCATGCTGTCGTGTAAACAGCTAGGTCCAGTGGTCCTCAGCTGTGCTGCTAATGCCTTCTCTCTCCCTGTCTTTTCCAAACCTCTCCTTGATGCTTCTGTGCACACCACACCACCCTGACTACAGTTCTCTGGGACGGTGAGTTTGGATAAAGATGACCATTTCCGGAGGGGCCGGGAGTCCTTCATGTCCAGTGAAGAGTCCTGCTCCCCCCTACTATGATTTCCCAATGCTTGCATGAGGCTTATACTCCATTTTGAGCCATCTGCTGTCAGTGATTCCCTATGTTTGGAAACTGAAGCACTGGAGTTGGACGGCATGACATGGGCAGTAGGAAGAGTAACCAATGACCGACTAGGCTTAAAAGATAATGTGCCACTTGAAGTTGAATGATCTGGAAAGAAAAGAGAATGCCAAATTAGTTGTAATTAACAGGGAAAAAAAAAAAAAGAGGCAAAATGTAAAATGCCAAAACAAAAATCTGAATATGCTTTCCCAGCACAAGTTTTTCAGAAGCACTTCATCAACATGAGAGACTTACTACTTATCACTGTTACTATTATTATTAGTCATCTGAAACAAATCAAACCTACTTCCATACATTTTCTAAAAAATGGATACATAACAAAATATATGCTCATTTGCAATCTACTTACAGATGAAAATGACTGGAAAACAGGTATATATTCATGCTATTTAACCAAAGTACTATGCCTTAAAAGAAAAAACCATCTCCCCACTGAAAGGTTTTACTCATGATAAATCACTGAAGCTTCAGACCCAACTGCTAACTTTACTTAAAAAATGGTATCTCTTAGTGTCTTTCCTCAACTGTGGAAATCTAGGTCCAATCTGAACACTGTAGTACCTCTCCACACTCGAAATCAAATCAGAAGTATGGGTAAAGGTGCTCCTGCAGTAATGGAAAACAATCAGAAAGGGTTCTAAGCAATATATTTGCAGATAGAGAGTAGTTTCTACATTCTCAGTCTCCCTTAATAGCATCCTCAATGATCTATTTTCCCAGGCTAGAACACCTGGAGTCTACTTTGATTCCTATCTTTCTCTGCACATTTACTAAATTCCCAGGTTGTAAATTTTTACTTCCAAAATGACTGCACAGTTATTGCCATAGATCAGACCTTCACATAATACTATCCCACACATAGGAACTGCTGTAGTAGGCAATATGGAAGCCCAAAGGGTAAATAAGGGCGTCTACACTCAATGGACTTACTATCAAATGCCAAACCGCCATCAAATATGCCTAACTAAAATCAAAGATTATCATTTTATCACATGATATACAGAAAGGTGATAGCAATTTGAAGTGTAGGGGTGGGTGGTGAAATGTAACTTTTACAGTTTGTTCTCTGTCTTTCCATAATGTTTGACTCAGTATATATTTAAATATTACTTGTGAGTTTTGATATTGTTTTAAATAAATAAAGTAACAGGAAAAGAAATGCTGAGGAAATCATAAGAAGATTCAGATGAGAAAGAGCCAGGCAAACTATTTTAAAAATATAATTCCAAGAGGTCTCTACACAGAATTTATTCACCTGGAGATGGAAGGGGGAAAATATTACAGATGAAAGAATATGAGAAAAAGTATCACAAAATATCACTGTAATTTACCATATTATAGGTTCCCACCAGCTTCTACAGAACCCTTTGATACTCAAGAAAATTCCTATATTATAAAGCCAACCTCCCAAAATAAAATTTTAGACCTTAAATTCCCAACATACCCTGCAACTATGATACAGACATTCAGAAGCACCTGCAGAGACTTCAGTTTGGAAGTGAGTCACATGAGAAAATGGGCTCTGCGTGGAGCTACCATTTCTGGCAACAGCAGACACATTAGCCTCCAATGACAACAGCAGAGGTGGCCAAATCAAGTGCTGGCAGAAAGGGGGCAGCAGCTGGGCAGCATCGGTCGGTTCGTCCAATGGGGCAGGAGAATGTCTGTTCCCAGAGGCGGCTGAGGCGTATTACCTGGAAGCTTGACCCTAAGCCTGGTTCTCCAACGCTCCTCAGAAATTTTGAGTTAACGAAACATCCTTAAATAAATCCCTCCTGTTCTCAATCATTCAGTCAGCTTCTTCTGCTAATTAAGAACACTAACTGATCCAAGTATGAAGCCAGGAAAATATTTCAATAAAATAAATGTTTTTAAAAAGAATACTTATTTTTTTTTAAAAAGATGCTAAACTCACTAAACAGTAAAAGTGCATTCCCTATTATACACATAAAACTATTAATGACTGCTAATATCCTATGATGATAGAACATGAAACTGTTACAGCCTTTGGAAGAAGAGGGGTAATATGTATACATCAATATTTAAAATATGCAAACATACAGGTGAATATATAAATACACACATATCCACAGGCAGATAAATGATCTGGAGGAATATGTGGCAGTGGTTTAGTCGCTCAGTCGTGTCCGACTCTTGCATCCCCATGGACTGCAGCCCACCAGGCCACTCCGTCCATGGGATTTCCCAGGCAAGAATACTGGAGTGGGTTACCATTTTCTTCTCCAAGCGATCTTCATGACCCAGAAATTGAAGCCAGGTCTTCTGCACTGCAGGCAGATTCTTTACTGACTGAGCTACAAGGGAAGCTGTGTATATAAGTACATGCATATTCATGGGCACATAAATGATCTGGAGGAATATACTCAAAACTTAATAAACACAGGTAGAAAGGAGAGAAAAGGAGGATACTTTCATATTCTACTTTACACAATGTCTTATTTTAATTTCTTTCCAAAGAGCATAAATTTACCATTTGGCCAAACTTCTGCAAAGATGTTTTATTGTGTCACCTCCAAGAGTCTGAAATATCAAAGAACACCGCTTCTAAAGTATGAATTATATATGAGGTGACTGTCTCATGTTCCATGCCACAGCTGAAACTTCTGAGACCAGCTGAAACTTGACCAGTCCTGGATGCTACTTCTATCTGAAAATGTGCTAACTTCCTGTCTACCTTTGCCAGTTCGATATTTCCAAACTGCATAGAAAATAAACAATTGGTGATAAAAACCAATTCTACATCACACTAGTATTTACTCCTACAAATCTAAAAGCTACTATAATATATCCTGTTCATAAAATTCATTAGGAATAGAATTTACTCCAAAACTCACTTACATCTAAAGTTCTCAAATTTCAGCACAAAACAGTTACCTGGTATCTAAGCCCTACTCCAAGGGATTCTCACTCAGTTAGAGTAGAGAAGGTCCAGGAAACATCACTTTTTAATAAGTGATTCTGCTATTCTATTCAGTACAATGTCATCCCACCTGTGACTGATTTCAGTTCTGAAACCTTCAATTTCAAGATTAACTATCTCAAGTCCAACCATCAACAGTATCTGAGGTTCATTGTAAAAACTGATTTACTGTGACATTCAGAATTTATTCTGTGAAAACTCAGAATTAAAGTTTACTCTATCCGCACACATATGCACATACATACACATGCACACACACAACATAAATTAATGAACAAACAAACATTTGACAATATAGATACCTGAAAAAAACAACCATTCTTAGAGGTAAATCGAAAAATAATTTATTTTGCCTAATGAAACACAATCAATTAGAGGTAAGTGCAATGCATTTCCTAATGTGCTTTATTATACTACCTAACTGTAGCCACAAATCTCAAAGGCAAGTTATTATGATGGCATCCAGCAGTCTAAGTTAGAACAGTGAAATCTGAAACCAGCAGAAGGTAGTCCTTTTAAAAGCCAGAGGACAGGGTTTATAGTATTCAGAGAACACAGAAAAGCTAATGATTGCAGACAGATTTCAGCTTATAGGGGAAAAACAGAAGAGGACACTGCTGTAACCTGATAATGCAAGTGAATTATATTTGAGACAACAAAAGTTCTGAATTCTGAACAAAATCACTGTCATGTTATTCTTGTCTGGCAATTCATGCCAGATTGATTCTATCTTCTCTTACATGTAGGGACAGTCTCTCTGTTCTTTCTTATAGTAAAAGGAATTAAATTTTTTAAAAAACCACACCTTCCAGATCTATAGTGTAATAAGAAATCATAAATGGTTACAATTAAAAAAATAATCAGGAAACTGTGTAAACACATCAAAATATTCTGATTTTTAAAATAACAGCTTATATTTTCATTAAATATAAAACATACTATTTTACATTTTAGAAAAATATTAAGCCTAACCCAAAGGCAATAATTAAGTTTTATAGAACACCATGACTTTTTCCCGTTCCTGCTAATGCCGTGATGATGTATCATGAGGAAAAAAAAAAAAATTTAAGCCACATTTAACTCTCCCCACTTTTTTAAACAAATGAACATTTGTCTAAGCATTCCTTATATTTTTAGGTAAATATTTTAAAAACATTCTTAACTATACTCTGGTAGGAAAAGAGCTATATAAAGAAACTCAATAATATTCAACCAAACAATCTTCTAGCAATATATAATGTACAAGGAACTGTGCTAGGCAGAAAAGACTATGCAAATATATTTATTCACAATAAAATATGAAAATAGCCCTCCTCAGGGATTACAATTTCACCATTACACAAACACAGCTGCAGGACAGGACTAAAGCTTATCATAAGGAAACTACAAAACACCAGACAGTATGAAGTGTGCTGGAGAGAAAAGGCAGATTATTCATACAAGAAGTCTCAGAATGATAGCCAACTTCTCTATAGTAATAATGGAATCCAGAGCACAGTGAAATATCTTCAAAAAGTTAAGAGTAAATAATTGGCACCCAAGAACTGTTTGGAGCACCAAGCTAGCTTCCAAGATTGAAGACAAAATATATAATCCTGCAAAACAAAAACAGAGCTTTTCACCAAGAGACTCACTGAAAGGACTTGTAATAACATTCCTTAAGGTTCTTTCACTAAAAAAGAAAAACAAGTCCTGAGGTGTAAAAACAAATAAGATTAAAAAAAATAAATAAACGTGTAATTAAATCTAAGAATGTCAATGATTACAAAACAATATCTAACTTGTGGGTTAAAAAAAAAAGAGGGTAAAGAAAACTAAACTATCAACTATGATGAATAAAACAAGGATGGAACAGCATTCTAACATCATAGTCAAGTTAGAGATGCATGTTATAATTTCACAACTAGAAGAACAGGAGAGCTCAAAACTGTACAGCCACAAGCAAAAGAATATAAAGCTGGATTCCTCTCTTATACTTTCAACAAGTATTAGCTCAAAATGAACCACAGGCCTAAATGTAACAGCTAAAATTGTATAACTCTTAGAAGAAACCATAGGTGTAAATCTTCATGACCTTTAAGTCAGGCAGTAATATGTCAGAAACAACACCAAAAGCCCAAGCAACAAAAGAAAATAAAGATAAATT